ACACTGACCTATACATACTAAGCTTTTCTGGTTGGATGTTCCACTCTCCACATTTCTCTTTATACAAGTCATACATTTTCATGAGATTTAGAGAACCTTCCAGATACAGCTTGCTTGTGTCTTTTCTGGAGTAGTGAGATTCAAGTGTGGGAAATGAGCGGATGTGTTCTCTGATCTTTTCTTTGCTGCTTTCTGGGATTTTGTTATGCGGTGCATGGCGTCCTTTCTTGCTTGGAGGGGTCATTCCCAAATCACTGTGTGTGAGGGCGCCTGCTGATCGTGCAAACTTCTCTGAAATATCATGAGGGTAGTTTTTGTATCTTACCTCCATCACTGAAATGAAGAGCAATCTCTGAAGCTTCATCTTCAACTTCATCACTTTCCCATATTATACTGATCAAAATCTTTTCTGCCTCAGTCAGTTCTTGCATGTCTGCAGTTCTGTCACTTATTTTAGCACTGGGCACCACTTGTGTTACGCCCTTTTGACTCTGAAATGCACTGCAGGGTCTGGTATTACTCAGAGCCACAAGGGCGTATATGTACATACGCCCTTCTGGCTCCAAACAGTACTCCACCTTTTTGGTAAGGTCTTTGTTGTTTTATTGTTTTATTCAATACAGATTCATTTCTGATTTGTATCTTTGGCACCACTAGATGGAGCTAATCAAGACCTTTCATTTGATATATAGAACTAATTTTTGACCAAAATGCCACTTACGCCCCTCTGGCTCCAAACCCTTGCTATATTGATATATCAGCTAAGGTTAAATGGTGACACAAAATACTGTAGATATCAAAATATTGGTGAACATCCGTTGGAAAGCGTCATATTGGCAACTGCAATTGTTTTCAAACAAAGTTATTCAAAACCCCAAGGTTTAGAACTTAGTCTGACAGGCAGCTCAGCTGAGAATACGAATACGGCATTAATGACTTCAAGGGATACATTTATGAAAAATAATCTTACCTTTATTCCTGCTTTTGTTATGTATGTTCATGTCTGCACATAGGATAGTCCTAATCAGGAAAATCATCTCTTCATAGATATATTTAAATCGTACAAACAACTAATAATTTTTAAAGCCTTGCATTTTGGAGTGATACATGCTAAGAACAAATGTTTTCAATAAGGTCAGATATACTACTGATTTATTGCTCATATAATCTTTTAATATATATATATAAATCTATCTTTTAAAAAGACAAAATTGTACATATGCTTTGGGGAAGTTGTGAATTAGTCTGTTTCAATGCTGAATTGTAACAGTAAATGGCCTTTACAGTGTCTTTTCAAGTCAGCGGACTCCAGAGGGCTTAGATTACACTATAAATCAAAAGAACAAGATTTGTCCTTGCAGCCTCATACCGGGGATTATGTTATATTGGGAGTATGTAACATGTTTTAGGGTCATTGCCATGCTGGATATCTTCAACAGTCTTTTTTAAATATATCTATGAAGTGATGATTTTCCTGATAAAAACTATCCTAAATAGCATAAATAGCTAAACAGGAATGAAGGTAAGATTATTCTTCCTTAATTTTGTTCTAAAAGTCATTAATTGAGGGGATTGTCGGCCTAATGGTTAGGAATCCAGAGTTTCTGAGTTCAAGGCCCAATACCACAGACTGACATCTTCATCCCTGCCGTCTATATCATCCTCCTCTTCGTCCTTGTTAATCCCTCGGTCATCCTCTGCACCACAGGTACAGGAGGATGAGATAAATCTCCGTTTTGTTCCAGATGTCGTCATGGTGCCCTTGGAAAATGCGTGCACTGTGTACCGTTAGAGGTAACAGCCAGTTTTCATAATAAAACCAGTGGGATAAAAAATGTTAGCAAGCATAATGCTGAAGGATGCAGCTTGTCTTTTCCAGCTTTTTGACGAAGACTATCTGAACCACCTCGACCCGCCGGTGAAGCACGTCTTTCCACGCGTATCTTTGTAAAAATGACCGGTGGAGCTGATAAGTAAGGTGTCTGGTTTTAATTCTACCAGCAGATAGGTTAAAGAACTCTGTGTAAGAGACTAACTCTTTCCGGATGCTAACAGAGGGAAGTTTGCAGCTCTGGAGAACATCAGCTGTAAGATAAAGTCAGGATGTGAGGGTCATCCTCCCTGGCCTGAGGGAATCTGCACCAAGTGCCAGCCCAGCGCCATCACTCTGAACAGACAGGTGCAGCTCCGTGGTTCTTTCCACATCCCAAAGAAAACTGCAAACTAAATCCAATAATACTAATTAGGTTCATAACAATCACTAGACTATAGCAGCTGGAAGGAACAAACACTTTTTTTAGTATCAATAAACCAACATTTTCCTTTCTTTTTTATTTCTACCAAAGCAAGAGTCTGTTTTAACTACTGGTAAGTAAAACTAAACATCACAACTTTGCAAAAAAAAAAAGAAAATCACTACAAATGGAGACTAAACAAAACGTTAACCAATTTATTTTGTTTGAATGAACTGAAAATTATGAGCATAATTGCATGTGTTTTACAAAGATTTTCCAAATACTGATCAATAATTTTTTCCCTTCATCCAAGGACCAAATCTCTGAGTTTTCTCTATAGAACTTTTATTAAATCTGTCTAAGGAAACATTTCAATGCACATATGCTTAAGGAGAATATTTATTGTTCGCAGGAAAGGAATAAAATTCAGAAAAAAAGGCAATAAAAGTAAATAATTAGCAACTCTAAACCCTACCACCCATCTAACTGTCTTTAAACTGCTGAATAAAAGTTGGCAAAGCTGTAAGATATCATCAGGAGCCGTCGTCTGTTCCCAGTCTCTTCATATGAGAGCGATTCAGGCAGTCTCAGTCGCCTAAAACATAAAACATTATGTGAATACATAGCTGTACTATACAGGGTCACTTTATTTTAATTAAAAGTTACATGTCTACAATTTAATTGGACTTGGTTGTAAACTAGGGTGTAAAATTAGTCTCCTTAAAGATGTATTTAGTTGTTTTAATGTTTCAAATTATCAAATAAAACCAAAGCCAACCTGAGAAATAGGAAATAAAGCTGACGATTTTATTCACTGAGGGGAAAAACATCTATTCAAACTGACCTGGATGCATATGAAAAAACTTAATTCCCCCGTGTTAAAACATGACTTAGCTGTAATAAAGCACTTTGTTAGAAGCTGGATTCATTACACCAGCCACACCCAACCCTAAACACAGCCAGGGCTGTATTATAAAGTAATTCACTTTCAAACAACCTTATCCTTTAGTCTTGCATTTTTTTCTATTCTGTCTGTTTTTGTCTCGTGGCCAAGATTTTTTATTTTTTTTTTAATGCCAATGGGACTATCATGGTTAAACGAGCAATCTAAATGACTCCTTTGCAGTAATCGCTAAATCTTGTTGGCATCTGATGTCACCAAGGGTGGAACAATCAGTTAAAGAAGCAGAAAAAATACTTTTCCATATAAGTCTGGGTTAGTTTAAGAAGAGTATATTTCCCTTAATGAATGAAATAATCTCTTTAAAACAACATTTTGTATTAACTCAGGTTAACGTAAGCAAACAAAAGGACAATCTGTAAGATGGTCGGTCTATAAAAAACATATAAAGATCATTTACTCACCACATCCTGGGCAAGAGCCAGTTGAGGACCTGCAAAGAAAAATATTTAACAGTAAGAAACCTGAAATTATTTCCATAGTCTAAAGAAAAATATGAATTTGTGTAAAATGAATGCAGATTATTACATGTAAAATAAACAAAGAGGTCTATATATTTAATCTTGTTCAAAATATTTTTCTTCTTCTCAATATATTACAAATTTAACAAAATCAGTCAAATGAAGTAACAAAAACACAATTTGTTAAAATTATTTTCCAAATCGGATTCTCTATTGGGTAATGCCATCTCACCAGACAAGGCAGATGTGGGGCAAGGGACCTCTATCCCATCAGCTGGGTTCACACACCAGCAGAGCTCCCCCAGGCACTGCTTGGGCAGGTAGAGACCCTGCTTGTCACAACTGGGACGGAAGAGCGGCACTTGGAGAGTTACCAATCCAAATGCTTCCTTCTGGCACTGGGTGAGCAGAGTGGCTAAATGAAAAGACATTTAATTCATGACGTTAGATTATTAGAATACTGCAGCATTATTTGTGAACAAACTGTCAATTCAAGACAAACTCACAAGATTTTTCAGTTCCACTTGATGCCTCCTGCAGCATAAAACAAATGAAAGAAAAATGAGACCAGCTGGTTTTAATAAACATTAAGGGTTGATTTATTTTTTAGGGAAAAACATTAATTCTAGAACATGGATGTTAACCAAAGTGCAACAAAAGCAGCTTTTACCTCCTCCATGGAGGTGTCCATAATCTCCAGGGCTGGAATCATGGACATGTGCATCCTCACAGGCATAGAAGCTGCAGAGCAAAAGAAAAGCAACATGTGCAACAGTGAGACTGACATTCTCTCATCAACTCCAAGTATTGATTTGTATAATTTTTCAATATTAAGAGTGTCTCTGAGGGCAAACAATGACCGTTACTAAGTCAATTCAAAAAGTTTTGCAACACATAGTGATTTGCTTTTCGATTTTGTACAGCAACAGGTTTTTAAATGCACTCATCATTTCTTATCTCCTTCAAACAGTATTCTATCTGATTAAATTAGAGAGACCCATGTTCTGACAATAAAAACAATTAATTTTTAAATTAAAGTTAGTAAACTTTTTATCTCTTAAGCTGTGAATAATCAAAACCTAAACAAATCATGATATACTTTATTCCTGCTATTGTGATTTGAATTTCCGTTGCTTACCAGATCTTCCACTGCTCATCTGCACGGTCATTTTTTGGTTCTGTTCCTCCAGATTCCTGATGTCGCTCCTCTGGCTGACGAGAAAGTAGGCAATCGCCGCCTGGCCCACAATCAGGACACAGGCCAGCAGGGTCAGTCCTGCCACCTTATAAGCCCGGGTAGACCGAGGGCTAGAAGGAGACAGAACACAGGCAGGAAATAAGGCATATTTGTTTAGTTATTAACTAAAGGGGAAAAGAATCTCAAACGCGGTGAATGATAGTGACAAAACCTACATGTAACTTCCTCAAGGGGTCTTTTTGGAAACTGGGGGAGTTCTCTAAAAGCGGAACTGAGCACAGGGTATTTACCACATATACCTACGGATGACATCACTTGTTGCCAACCAGATGCCAAAAGGAAAGTTTGAAAATATATTTTTCTGTCTCCGCCATGGCTGCTGGACATTCCTGTGATGCTTCGTAGGACACTCCAGAACACAAACCTTAAAGTTCAAATTTGAATAATCTTTGAATGCTCCATTAAGTAAGAATTTCTCATAACAGTCTTCTATGACTTTCACAGACTAGACAAGAACAGCCCCATAATAAATAGACTAAAACTGCCTTTTTACTCATTTATGTTTTTTTAATATAGTTTTTCTCGTTTTGATTTTAGGGTCTAAATTGTCCAGAAACAGATTATTCCTTTATTATTCCACTGTGGGAAAATAATTTTTTTATTAATTAAAATTTTTAAAGATCAAATATTGCCTCCTATTTTCATGTTATTCTTCTACTGCAATATGGAAGAAAAAAGATACAAACTGTTCAAAACACAGATTCTTAGTGTCATTTTAAAAAGTCCAAGGAATTCAAACTTACAATACAAAAAAACAAAAACAATAGCAAAGCAGAGATTACCAGAAGGTGTTCTTTACATATTTAAGAACATAAAAGAAGCTGGTATATAAACTATTCCAAATCCTACTAATTTAAATCATATTGAGACTTCATTAGAAACAATATCAGGGGATTATAATCTGGATTTTCATTTGTAATTTGTCACAAATGAAAAGGCATGGATACTTGATTTAGCATAAAACTGTACAAGGATTTGGAACAGATTTGATATTTAAACTAGTGTTGCACCGATGCCATTTTTTGGCCCTGATAGCGATACCCGATACCTGGCTGTGCAGTATCAGACGATACCAATTCCATCTGTCTGAAATTGATGCGTGTGTATATCTGAAGAACTGCATACTTCTTGGATGTAAAATAATTTTCATCATGGCTTTGTCAAGCTGCTGCCTACCTTTGTGAAGCAGGACATGGGTGACAATAGTTGAATAAACTTTTGGCTCTTAAAATGGTATCGGTGCCCTATTTGTTGGTACTCACCAATACCGATACCACCATTTTAGTGCAGTATCGATAACAGTGCAACACTACTTTGAACCCAAAAGAAGAAGAATTTAAATATTAAAGCATACAATCAAAATATCCCAGCAAAATCAATGTTTTGGGAACAAAAGATACAAACCCCAAATGATTACGAATTTAGAACATATAATTAAGAAATCTTGATGATAAAGACACATATTACTCCCTCCTTACCCCTGTCCTGGTGCTCCTACATTGACGGATGTTTGTCCAAGAAGAGGTTGGGATGGGGTCTCTGGGTCAGACATTTTTCACTCAAACACAAACACCTACAAACATAAACACACACAAACAAAATAAGATCTGTCAACAACTTAGAAATAATGCTCTCCTGACAGGATACACAGATAAGATAGAGTTTACCTTTTGTTTGAACAGGTTGCAGGTTGTTTCGCAGTAATGACTGAAGTCTAGGAGATTTGATCCTTTTCACTAATCTGAGTCAGAGGGAACTGAAAGCGGATGGAAGGGAAAACCCTAAAACAATTCTGAGTAACACTATTCTGATATGGCAGGGTTTTTTCAATCTCGATTTTATGATTGGTTAATTTCTCTTACTCATCTGTTACCAGGTAGAACAGAGTAACATGAACTACAGAAGGGTCCTTTTTGTACTTGCTTACTGTACATGCTTCTGGTACATAAAACATTTACAGACAAACACCATTCTAGGTTTAAACAAAAGTAAAAATATCTCATATTAGCAATATATATGATTATCTAATTTTATCATTTTTTTTTTATTCAAAACATATTCATTTTATTTTTTATTAGGTTTATACCCTAATCAAACATTTGATTTTTGTTTTAAGAATTCTGCTATAATTAAAAAGTACAATTTCATTTACATTTTTATAGTTCTGTGCTGTCTAAAAAAATTTTAAGAAAAAAAAAATGATGCAATAGAGTAGAAGGGAATCGAAAAATGTAGAAAAAAATTTTTATCTAAAATTTTCTAAGA